TTTGCACAATGGACCCTATTAAGGCCGAAACATAGAGAGAAAGGTATATGATTTTTCTCTAATTTGTTTTATATATACATACAAATGCTCATTTTCATTTCCTAAATCCAAAACAACCAAGATTCATCATCTAATCAAAGTTTCACACCCAATTCTTTCCCACTAGAACATAATCATAACTTTTATAACATAAATAACAAAAACCAATATTCATAATTCACAGTATGGTTTTTGCACCGTTTTTGACAAAATACACTGTGAATCACTAATTGTACTTCATTTACTTATGAAACTTAAAACTTATAAACTTATCATTTTCTTGGGTCTATATTGACTTGCTTGGCATATATTGGGCTTTCTTATTCTTATTTCATCAATTATTTATTTCTGGACTCTACCGGTTGCTTAAACAGCAGTACAAAATACCCGGTAGAAACACTATTCACGAGATTTTCACAGAAGGCGCCAGACTATACAATTTTTCGTTCTGAACTCATATTTGTCGTCAGAATTATCAAATTATGTCTCTAAAATTGTTTTGCTCATTTAAGCTCTACCAGTTAATTCACAAAACTGCAAATTCTCTGGCAGAACGCACTGTTCATAACATAGTCTTGATTACAGTTAAAATACTCGAAATCGCTCACTGAATCTAATTATGGCATTTAAATCCTTAAATTAAATCTCTAATTAAGATTTACCAGTTAGGGTCATTATATTCACCCCACCTTTTAAGGATTTTGCCCACAAAATCAAATATCGAATATAACATATACCTGACGTCAAACTTAGGATACTGTTGGAGAATTTCATTCTCCCGCTCCCAAGTAGCGTCCTCAGGAGTCAATCTTTCCCATTGCACCTTGATCATGGGAATAGTCCTGTTTCTCAACACTTTTTCATCACGAGCTAGAACCTTCAATGGTCCCACAACAAATTTCAAGTCTTTCCTTACTTCAATATCGTCCCGCTGAACAATGTGGGACGCATCCGGCACGTATTTTCGAAGTTGGCTGATGTGAAAAACACTATGCAGATTTGACAGATGTGGAGGTAAGGCAAGCTGGTATGCCACAGGTCCGACCCTCTTTATAATCTGGTAGAGCCCAATGAACCTAGGACTCAACTTCGTCACTCCTAGCGCACGCCCAACACCCGTAGTTGGAGACAAACGGATAAACACATGATCCCCTTCTGAAAATTCAAAGGGTCGATGCTTTGCATCATAATAACTCTTTTGGCGGCTCTGTACTTTCTTCAATCGATCCTTAATCATCATAATTTGATCGGTAGTCTCTTGAACCATATCATGCCCAAATAACTGCCTCTCACCAACTTCTGACCAACAAGTAGGCGCCCTGCACCTACGGCCATACAAAGCTTCATAGGGAGCCATGCCCAAACTGGCATGACAACTATTATTGTAGGAAAATTCCACCAGAGGAAGATATTTATCCCATGCATTTCCCTGCTCTAAGGCACAAGCCCTCAACATGTCTTCCAGGGTCTGAATAGTCCTCTCAGTCTGACCATCAGTCTGGGGATGATAAGCTGTACTCACCCTCAGTTGTGTACCGAATGCCTGTTGCACTGCATCCCAAAGTCGAGAAGTAATAACTTTTGGGCTGAATCAAATCTCCTCTAAAAGGTTTGGGTCGTGGCCCTTGTAAGGAAAGTGGTCCAAAACTAATTCTCCCAATGGTTCACTAATTTTCTCCTATTTAGGAATTAACACATGCCTTATAATTTTTATGTACCCTCTAATTATTTACTAAGGGTTTATTCTTTGACATACTTATAATGAATGCTCATATAAATTCTAAGTAGTATTATGCTTTCTATATGTTATAATCAGATTATTCCTATACTCATAGCTAGAACTCCACATGCATAAGATGGCATTCACCTTTCATGTTAATACAAATAATTCCCCAATTTAATTTAATTCCATCCTAAAGCAAACATTTATATAATCTGAAGGCGAGTATTCCACCAACCTCCTAATTAGACGGGATGTTACAGTTTCCTCTATAAATCGTACAACTGGGGATTTTCCAATCCCTCTCAGAAGCATTTCCTGATAAACAGATTATACAACATATCAATTCAGAAATACCAGGTATCCAATATAATCAAATACCCATACATTGGCGCATGCATAACATGGCTCCGTGCCACTATATCTAACAGCATGCCATCAAAACGTAAACCTATCTGAATACTACATCATCATATAACGTGCCTAAATACTCAAATGTACATGCATCAAACTAACAGACATGTACAAAACATATACAGGCCATATACAAAATAAAGGATCTACATCATAATCCACAAAATACTGAAACACTAAATGAAAGCACTCGAGAGGTCTCACCGGGGATCTGGGCACCTGAAAATATGGCCCCAACGAGGGGTGAGATTACAAATTTCAATAAGCTCCAGGTTTATAGAGAATTCTCCATACCCCTGGCTCACTCCTGCATGAAAGTCAGATACAGAGTATACGAATACAACATATAACAGATATCATAACAGAACAAAACATATATTCATATCATAACAGAGGCGTGAGCCGTCATTCCCAAGGGAGGACCCCAAGCGGAAATAAACACACGTGTTCCCGAGGGAGGACCCCAAAGCGGAACCAGACATATCATAGGCGTACCCTTTAGTCCCGAGGGAGGACCCCAAAGCGGACATCAGGGTACTATACAATCAATGGCGTGAGATTATTACAAAAATCATATTATCGAAGTCATATCAGAACAAAACATATCATGTTATCAAATAGCTCTATATGAATGCATCTATACAAAGCATCAAAACAGTCATACAATCCAACCACAGTTCACTAACTATGGTGGAGCACTCAAGTAGGAAAATACTCCTTAAACATAGAGCTTACCTCTTGAAGCTTTATCAATCTGCTTACTTGTGACACAAGTTACTTTTATATCTTCAAGAGATTTTGATCCTTTTCAGTCCCTAGGTACACCTAGAGCAAAAATCCACAAATACAAATTAATAAAATGCCATCATGCCTAGCTTTCACATAAGGCATACATTTTATCGCTTCTTTTCGTTTCTTTATGTTTTTGCCAATGCTATGCCAATACACAAGTCTAGACCACCTTATACTCGTTAGGATTTCCTTAATTTAATCAAGTGTTCACTTGAGAATTTTCAACATAATTCATGCCATTTTCTCTAAAAGGCCGTGAACCTACCTTTAGGAACTCAATGTATTTTTCAACCCTTATTCAAGCCATTTCACTTCTTAACTCATCAATTTTATACAATACATTACAACACATTTTATTAAAATAAAATGTAACAAAATATATTCCTAAGCCACCCTATAGGTCGAACTCCACAAGGACAATAGGCAAAAGGGTTCTTTTCTTTTTAATTATTCTTTCTTCCCTTAATTATCAACTACACATACATAAATATATATGTTCATCAAGTCTCAATTAATTTTTTCATGACAAGCTCCTCTAAAGCCCCCAAGGCCGAAGCATAAGGGCAAGTATTTATAGGATTTTTCCTTTTAGGCCTTCTTCCTAATTTCATACTTACTCCAACACAATAAACCCTCTTAATACATCAACTAAAATTTTCAAAATGGAGCCTATTAAGGCCGGAACATAAAGAGAAAGGTATATGATTTTTCTCTAAATTTTTTTTATTTACATACAAATGCTCATTTTCATTTCCTAAATCCAAAACAACCAAGATTCATCATCTAATCAAAGTTTCACACCCAATTCTTTCCCACTAAAACATAATCATAACTTTTATAACATAAATCATCAAGATACTACTATGGAAATAGAGGTTCGTTACCTCCAAAAGCTTATACAAGGTCAACAAAGTAACCTCCAAGCAAGTCTCCACCAAAAATCCCTTTTTTTCACCTTGGATGAATAGTGCTCCGAAAATGAGATGACAAACATCTTCCTCCACAAACGAAATCAGCTCAAGGGTTGGAATAGCTTCCTTGGATGATTTCTTATGAGATTGGTATAATGGGTGGAAGATTTGGTTGCTTAATCATAGAGAAATCAAAGAAAAACAAAAACAAACCCTAAGCTTCCTTTTGCCATGGCTGCCACGGGTGGGGAAGGGAAAAGGGAGAGAGAAAATGTGAGGGAATAGTGAATTCAAGTGACTTAGGGGTTTTTAAGCACATGTGACTTTTAACCGGTTATTTTTCTATCGCGTATTTTAACTTAAATTGACCCGGAACTAACTTAAAGTTACAGACATATTTTTTTTAAAATCATTTACATTAATTTTTATTTCTTACAAAACAATATTCATAATTCACAGTATGGTTTTTGCACCGTTTTTGACGAAATGCACTGTGAATCACTAATTGTACTTCATTTACTTATGAAACTTAAAACTTATAAACTTATCATTTTCTTGGGCCTATATTGACTTGCTTGGCATATATTGGACTTTCTTATTCTTTTTTCATCAATTATTTATTTTTGGACTCTACCGATTGCTTAAACAGCAGTACAAAATACCCGGTAGAAACACTATTCATGATATTTTCACGGAAGGTGCCAGACTATACAATTTTTCGTTCTGAACTCATATTTGTCGTCAGAATTATCAAATTATGTCTCTAAAATTATTTTGCTCATTTAAGCTCTACCAGTTAATTCATAAAACTACAAATTCTCCGACAGAACGCACTGTTCATAACATAGTCATGATTACAGTTAAAATACTCGAAATCGCTCACTGAATCTAATTATGGCATTTAAATCCTTAAATTAAATCTCTAATTAAGATTTACCAGTTAGGGTCATTATAGCTTCCTCTGATCTTTCTTTTGTTCCTTCTTACAATCCTTTGCACGGTGGTCAAGATTCCCACATTTGTAACAGTTGCCTTTGAACTTTTTTCCCTTTCCTTGCTTAGCATTTCCATCTTCAGAATATTTCCTCTTCTTTGACTTTGATCCGTCTTCAACTACATTAGCCTTAGAGATAATTCCTCTTGTCAGACATCTTATTGTCTTCTTCTATTCTCAATCTCGTAACCAGATCTTCAAGTGATAATTCCTTGCGCTTATGCTTCAGATAATTCTTGAAGTCTCTCCAAGAATTTGGTAATTTTTCTATGAAAGCAGCAATATGGAAAGACTCACTAAGAGACATTCCTTCTGCATGAATTTCATGCACAATCACTTGAAGTTCCTCAACTTGACTCACAACAGATTTGGGGTCTTGCATCTTGAAGTCCAAGAATCTGCCAACTATGAATTTCTTTAAGGCAGCATCCTCAGTTTTATACGTCTTGTCCAGACTATCCCAAAGTTCCTTACTAGTCTTCAGGGTACAGTACACATTATACAATGTGTTGTCCAGAGCATTGAGAATATAGTTCCGCCAAAGGAAGTCAGAATGCTTAAAAGCATCAACGGCAACAACCTTTTCCTTGTCAGATTCTTCTCCCTCATTCAGTTTAGGAGCATCTTCCTTCAGGAAACGGTCCAGACTCAGAGTTGTCAAATAGAACAACATCTTCTGTTGTCAGCGTTTGAAATTTGTTCCATTCAGTTTTTCATGCTTGTCAGCATGCATTGGAACAGAGGCAGTAAGATTGGCAGCGTTTGCACTTACACTAGCCATTTCTGTTACACAAACAGAATCCGAAATTAATCACACAGATTAATTAATCAGACAGATTAATTAATCAGACAGATTAATAACACAGATTAATCACACAGTAAATAAAACGAAAACAGTATATAAAATAAAACAGAATATACTGATCACAGGTTCAAAACACCAAATTGTCTTAAGATTATTATTGAAGACAGTGGGTGATATTATATCACTAAGAGATTTGAACCAATGTAAAGAACAGAAGGGGTAGATAATCAGAATTATCACTGTGCAATTATAAATATTAAAAAACAGACTTACTTGATATGTATTAGATAGACACAATCAGAATAATTAAAAATGCAGTATTAGAGGAATAAAATCCGAGCCCACAGAACGTGTCTCCTTAAGACAATTTTTCCCCATACTGATGCCAAAGGTTGATGGACACTTGTCTCCCAAGATAGAATGGATTTCGTCTGAAGAGTAGCGGCACTACCAGTCAACAGCCCAAACAAACACAACTAAATGCCAAAGGAAATCACACCGGAGTATGAACAGGAATATGCAAACCAGAAGGAGAAAAATTTCGGCAGAGTTTTAATGCAGAAAAATCGGATAAATTTCTGAAGGTGTCAGTGTCTATTTATAGACACTGACCAGTCACGATGAATAGTCGTCGGCGGCGAACCGCCGTGTCTGACGGCGGCGAACGGGTGCGACGGGTGACCGTTCCGACGAACAGGTACAACCGATGACTGGTTCAGCGAGCAGACACAACCGGTGACCGGTTCGGCAAGCAGACACAACCGGTGACCGGTTCGCGAAAGGAAAGAACCAGTTCGGTTCAAAATTGCTCAAAAAATCGACGGGTAGAAATGTTTGGGTTCGAAATTTTGGAGGGAAGCAACTGATACATTTTTGGACAAAATATTAAAAAAAATAATGTAATAAAAAATTATTTTGATTGACCGCGTGTGGCGGACCAAAGCCCACCTACCTCCTCTCCCTCCGCAAAATGTGTAGTGACCCAAAGGGCCATCTAGGAGAGTGAGGTGAGAGCTTATAAACTCTTCCACTTTCGTACTATTTGTCCAATGTGGGACTTGTTAAAACCCACACACCTCTTCAACTTCTCTTCTCTCTTTTCTTTATTAACTCACTTCTTATTCATAACCAATAGATCATTGTTCATTAATTCCAAGATACCCGTCTATGCCTTTTGCCTTTGAACATATAATTGATATTCCTATGTTGGAAATGTTTGAAAAACTTATTGCATAGGCGATAGGACAACAACAATAATTCATCATTCATGCAAAATAGACAGCTAGCTCTCTAACACAGAACATGGACTCATGTGGCATAAATACGTGCTTGAATTGAAAAACCATCACTTGGGAAAAGGGTTTTACTCTCTGGCCTTTTCCCTAACTCACTATGAAAACGTTAATAGAGTCATTATGAGAAATGGACTCCACATATTTAGCTCATACCAACCTTTTAAAGTCGTTTAATTACACATTATGGTGTTCCTATGCCAAACCCTCCTTCCAGACGCCAATAATATATTGCTATTTCTTCTAGGAAAAAAAATGACAGAACATAATTTTGAAATGACATATAATCTCACTTAATTGAATGGATGCCTTCTTAAAGAAAAAGATACAAATAATATTTTTGTATGATTTACAGACCTTCTTTGCACAATGACTAATGAATCCTTGAGTAATAAAATTTTTACTTGGAAAATTATACTTACAATTTATTTATTTTGTTTACAACCACTTTTTTATTTTTACCAAAATTAAATTAACAGCTCTCACTTGATATTATTTTATAACTATTATTTTAATTTTAATCTAAGGACAAAAAATATAATTATACGAGGTTGTAAGATAAAATAGGTTAAAAATATAACCTCTCCCCGGTTATATTTATATATATAGTATGATGAGATTAACTTTGCTGATTGCAATCCTAACAAGTAATAGAACTTTTAAAAGAGAAGAAAAAATCCAATCTTTTTGAAAAGCTTTCAAACTTAACGGAAGCAACCTATATCTGTTCTCCTCTCTATATATAATAATAATAATAATAATAATAATAATAATAATAACATATAAAGCAGTAATAGAATCAACGGGTGTTAAAAGAACTTTAACAGAAAAATATCAAAAAGCAGGAATGACGCATTTCAATTCAAATTATTAGGTTGTTAATTGTGTCATTTTACTGATCATAGCCAAACATATGGGGTAGGGTGTTAAGTTTGAAAGTATGGATTAAAAAGGTCATATGAACCAAAACCGTTTTCATCCCTACACAATAATTGAACTTAAAAGCCTATGCTTTTCGAAACTGATAGAGTAGACATAATAATGAGTATATTTGTATGAGTATTATACATTTAAAAAAAAAATAGAAAGATCTCATTTCATACCCGAGAAATAATAAAAGGTTCCAGAGTCAAACGTGAAACTCTGAACTTTATTTTTTTCCTGAAAAGAAAAACTACTAAACCAAAAAGAGACATAAAAGGGAGAAGTAATTGTTATTTTAAAAAATATAATTTGGCATAATTTTAGATGAAATAACATCGTTTTGATGCGTAATTGGTGATTTTTTATAGGATGCATATAAATTATCTGCATTGAACCAAAAATAAAGTCGTTTTGAAACGAAAATCAAGGTATTTTTGTAATTATAATTTATTTTAAGGTTATAACAATCTTTATCATTATAATTTTTTCATCTTTTAATCCAAAACGATATTGTTTTGCGATGAATATAAATAACTTATCTGTATTCATCTTTTATTCATCGTAAAAACCTTTTTTATATTCTTTATCCTCCATGAAATTAATAAGAAAGAAAAAATGAAGGAGAGAGAAAATAAAAATCATCAATGATACATCAAAATAACATTATTTTATCTACAATGATACAAAATTATGTTATTGAAAATAACAAACATTTTTCCCTTGATAAAATAAGAAAATTTGCAAGCTGTTACGGTTCATACCCTTATTTTCTTCTTGCGGGAACTACTTTTAGAACAAAATTAATTTAAATTATTATGAAAGAAAAATGTATGCCTAAATATATAATTTAAAACTAATTTATGTCAAGAGGAATTCGTAACAACTCACAAAAACACTTTATATTATTTCTTTACAAAATGAAATTTAAGAGACAAAGGAAGAGACATTTTGTAATTGCCTACATATGTAGTAGATAAAGTCATAAAGCTTTTTGCCTATTTATTTATAATGTTGCTTTCTTAATGCCACAAAGAAATAAATATATTGATAAATAATTAAGGCTAAGTGATAAAGGAGAAGTGATTGTGCAACCAACCATAACAGAGGCTTTTATGAAAGAAAATGCTATCTCTCCACACTAACATACCATTGAAATCTGACACAGGTCCACCATATATTGGAATCACAATAAGGTGATAACGCTTGTGCTCATTTTTATTTTTTATTTTTTTCTTTAAGTTCTTCTATGGTCAAGGTTAATACAATACAATATATTAATGCCATAAATTTTGCACAAAGATTTGAAGTGACTCAATTAGGTTTGGCCTGGCCCGGTTTACCAACATGTGCAAGGATCCCATTTTGTTTCCACCATTACTTTTCTTCAATTAAAAAGCCACCCCACTAATGTCACACAACCAATAGCAAAACTTTTAGAACAAATATTCTTATTAAGACAGCTTTTCACTAATCAAACATCTTAGTAAAATAATAAATACATAGTCACCTGTCCCATACTAGAATATTCTGTTCACATTCACAGCTCCAGAGAGAAGAGAAAACAAAAACAACAAAATATATATATAAACAAGAAAACCAATGAAGAAACTTGTTTCTTTTAAATCTAAAAACCCACCACCCTTTTTCTCCAACAATTTTTTGGAGACCTTAGAGAAAATAAGTGCTTTCATTATACACCAGAAATCTAAGGGGTAACACAAGTTACTAGCTACACTAGATAAAAAAACACCTAGTTTTTTTTTTTATTATTTTCTTTTTTTGCTCCCTTAGTTTCAACATAAATGATCAAGGACAATTAGGATTTCTACCAGGACCACCATAATAGAAGTAATTGCCCCAATCCCCAGCAGTGCCAGTGTTGACATTATAGCAATTACCTTGCTCAGTGTAAATTCCAAGGTCTTTGGGAGGCCTAAGCTTGTTATCACCATCAACAGTCTGTATGTTCTTGAAATAACTAGCCTTTCCAAAACCTTCCTCAGGGAAATGGCCACTTCCCATTTGTGTTGAGGTGTGTTGTCCATCAGATTGGGAGTTCACAACTTCACCTCCCCATTCAATCATTGAGGCACTGTCAGTGAGGTAGGAGAATAGAGGAGCTGGCCAGTATCCAAGAACATGGTCATTACCAAATTGCATCCACCAGTTTCCCTCTTTTGGGTCCTACACATTAGTTTTGCCAAATAAACATCATCATATGAAATGGTACATAATAAATTCATGGACCAACATATATATATATATATATATATATATATATATATATATATATATATATATATATATAATGAAATGTGTCAGAGATTCTCTTGATTTACAATTAAATAATGTGCCTGCACAAAATAATTATACTAATATAATGGTAATGTTTGTTAAGTGGGGGGGGTATACTTTCTTGCCAGAATGTCCAATAAGAAAATATTATTAAAAAAGAAGAAGAAAAAAAAATTTGTACCTTCCAGACCAGGATGCTGATATCATATTGGGAAGAACCATACTTAGAAAGTGGGTAGATGCTTGCTCCTAAGGCTATATCACTGTTAATTTGAATAAAGCCAGAGCAAAGGAGATTATAACAACCAGTAGCTTGATATGCATCACTCTGTCATGGTAATGAAACAATTTCATGAAATGAATAAGAAATTAGAGTATAAGTATAAAAACAACAAAATGGGGTGCTTGAATTGGGAACTCACAGTCCAATAAGTGAAGAGTCTAGTGTTATTGTCTCCATACAAATCTGGGCTGACCTAATTGCCAGAGTAGAAAAAGACAAGCAGGAAATTAAACAAATGGAAAGGAATAAATCATATCCCTAAGAAGATATTGAATTTGAAAAATATTTATATACAGAAGATGACAATAGAAATTTTTTAAATAATACCTGCCAACCTGCTTCAATGCTGTTGAGATCTTGACCAAAAGAACCACCCAGAATCCACATTTGAGACAGGCTAAATTCATTGGGTTGTTGAATTTTTGGGTCCCAAACGTTTATGGTTGCCTTGGCTCCATAATATTTATCTCCCTCCACATACACTATGGCATGCTAAATGCTCCAAAAAGATCAAAGCCAAAAAGAAAAACATAAAATCAGGAGAAAATAAACGAATAAATTAATAGCTTTCATTTGTGGCTTCTATACTTCTTTTTTCTTTTGCATAAAAAAAAAGACCTAATATGGAAGTAAACAGGTTTTTCTTTTTCCTTTTACTGGCCATAGAAATAAAATAAATAGAAATGAGGGTGTTTTCTTTTCTTAGTAATTAGGAGTAACTTGAACTTCTTGCTGCTACATTATCAACATCATAGTTATGGCAGTACCTGGTGTCCACTCTGAGTGATGAGGTCAGGTAGAGGTTTTGCAGATCTTGGCTGAGGGAAGCTCCTTTGATTCTTCTTTCCAAATTTCTGGATAGAGCTTGCCCTTAATATGTCATCTTTTCTGGTCCTTCTGATAGGAATTGACCCCTCTGGACACCTTCCATTTTGGTGCCAGAGTTGAGTAATAGGCTTGGAATTTGAAGAAACTTTGCTTTCTCCAAAAGTGCGCCCTTCTGGATGGGAATTTGGTGTTATCTGCATCACAAACCCGTGATTGCTTGAAATTCAAACCAAAACCAAATGAGCCCCCACAAAGGAAAGAGAGAAACAAATGGGAGCTAACAAGATTAAGAATTTTGAATTACAAGAAATTAGATAAGAAAGAAAATTATTAACCTGAATCTTGTGACTTTTGAGGTCAGGGTGATCAAAAGCTGGCTGGTGTGAGACATGGACACAGTCAATAATATCTCCGTCTGGACTCTGCTTTCCCAAATCAAATGTAAACACAAACAAATCAGACACTTGAAAAAAAGAACTATGTTTATTGATGGCCCCAAAATCTACAAAGTAAACTAATCACAACGCTTAGAAAAACACAGAAAAAGCATAACTAAAGAGCTTTTCTAAGAACAAGAACAATAGCTGAATCTCAATTACGCCCCCAATAAAAGAGACTAAAAGAAGCTCTCAAATGAGACAAGAGCATCCCAAGTTTAAAAGTTCCTTTCATACCTAAAAGGCTCATTGTTGCAAATATCGATTAGAAAACAGTTATACAATCAGTGAAAAAGTGGAAGAGGGAAAGAAAGAGAGAAAAAAAAGGAAGAAAAAAAAAAGGTTAGAAAAAGGCATTGCTGGAAGAAAGGGAAAATTCAAAATTCTCTCTACCTTGATGGACTTAACAGGAGGTCTGTTCAAATTCTTCAAATGCTTCTGAACCTCAAGCTTCTGACTTGAACTGCCACTGCCACTGCCGGTGCTTGTGGCGGCGGCGGTGCTGACGGTGGCTCTGCCAGCACAAGTCAAAGGCACCAACAAAACCAACAAGAAACACAGGCACAGCACAACCTTCCCAACCCACCTCTTCCCACATCCAAATTTCGCCGCCATTACAGATTCTCAATCAAAAAGCATGCAACTTTATCAAAATTCTCCAATTGGGTATTGAAGACACAATGACACAAAGGCTATAGAACCTAAAGGGTCACCTAATAACCATGAAGGATTTATAGTACCCACAAGAAGGATTCAATTAAATGGCCTTAAAACTGTTATAATTTGTTAATAAAAGAGTAATCTTTTATTGCCTTATTCTCCCTATCCTTCACCCAAATCTGCTCTTTATCCTACGCACCCCACCATCAACAACAACAACAATCACCACCCTTTGTTGTTGTTGTTGTTGTTGTTTGCACGCAAAATACAAACAAAAAAATGTGCTTGACACTTTGACAGGGTAGAGAGAGAAAGAGGGGGCCCTTCAATGTTTTTTTTTTTTTTTTTCTTCTTCTCTCAGTGTTCCTTATTTGTAGTTTTGTTCCTCAGAACACTACAAAATAAACTGCCGACGATTGAAAAGGAAAAGAGAGGGGCATTTTGGGAAAAGACACGGACAAGAAAAGTTTGTGGAAATGCATGGTTTTGTTACTCAGTCACCTTATATCAGTCTTCACTGGTTCCACTACTCACAGTGGTAAGAGAGAGAAAGACAAAGAGTGACTGATGTAGAGAGAGAAACTATGTTAGTTCCCGCTACTATGGATTGGTGTATGGTAGTGAGAATGAAATTACTGTGTTACCCTTGGGGTCACGGGATCACATTCCCATTTTTCCTTCTCACTGCCTCTCTTTTGTCTTTTTACTCTCTCTATTCCTTCTACTACCTATGGACGGAGGTGATCGATAATAATTGGATTTGTCCGTGTTTCAGTTAGAATCGCACAAAGACCTAATTAATGTAAATTAAAGTAAAATATATAATAAAAATGTAAATTTACAATTCTTTTTGAGAAATAATACAATTAAGGCTTTAATATTTCTACATTAAATATAATTATAATGAAAAAGATTATTATAATTCTCAAATAAATTATAATTACAAAAATATCTTAATTTTCGATTCAAAATAACATTATTTTAAACTCAATATAGATAAGTTATCTACATTGATGGTAGAAAAAATGAACCTTACAATTAATTATGCATTTCAGCATATCTTATTTAACGTGTTGTGAAAGGAGTGAATCCTCTCATATCTTATTTAACATGATATAGTCATATAAGAAATTATAATCATACACAGATGAATCTATTATGATAAGAGAAGAAAAAAACTAAAGAAAGTAAGAAAGAAAAAAATATTGAAATAAATAATTATAAAATCATCATCTTGATTCATTTTTGTATGAATATAAAATCATATTAAATAAAAAAATGAGAATATTCATTTCCAGTAGGGGATATCCTTCTGCGCAACTTAGGTGATAGTGTGGACTATGATATCTCAAATTTTATTGTCATATATATTTTTAATTTTTCACTCTATAAATTATTAATTAGCATCATAAATATTTATTTAATTAAAAAATAATTAACCTAATAAATATGGATTAAATAATTTTTTTAAATTATTTAATTAAAAAATCAATTATAATTTAACAATTGATTTTTTATTTTTGAAAAAAGTTTAAATATTGACTTTTTTATAATAAAATATTGACTTAATCATGAAATTTTTTTATTAAATTGTAATTAATAATAATAAATTTATTATCATCAATTACAATTTGATAATTAATTTTTCCATTCTCAATGAAAATAATTTAAATTATTTTATTAAAAATAGAAAACAATTATTAAATAATGATTGCTGGTAATACATTTAACGTTTTTAAAAAATCAATTACTTTATTCATTGGAATGGTTGATTTTTCTTATCTTACTTCAAGGTTGATTTTTTTATTTTTTTATTTTTTGGGATGTGTAAGAAAAAATTTTAAAAATTGTAATTAATATAGGGAGATGAATAAAAGAAAAATATTTAAAGATAAATAATGCGAAATAAATAAGGGAATAAGTAATCCCTTTTTTCATATTTAAGACATTTTTTCATATTTCTGGTTAACAGATAGCACTTTTCATGAGGTGGTTAATGGATGTTGGTCAAACAATGTAAACTGGATGCATGCTATGAAGACATTTCGGATTAATGCTTCGGAATGGCATAGAAATGTTTATAGGATTGCTCTGAAAAGAATGAATGATTTGCATGCAAAGATTAGAGGTATTGATAAATGTCTTAGTTATCAGTACAGTCATAGCCTTGAGATGTTGCAAAAGGATCTATGGAGGGAACTAGACAAGATTTATCTTCAAGAGGAAATCACTTGGTTTCAAAGATCAAAATTGAATTGGTTTGCTCTTGGAGATAGGAACTCGCGTTTCTTTCATTCTGTGACGGTTGCCAGACGTAGGAGGAATCGCATAGATACGTTGAAAAACTCGGAGGGAGTTTGGATTGGTGATCAGCAGGTTTTAATGGAAATGGTTGTTTCCTTCTTTGAAAATCTGTACACAAAAGATCCATTACCTAAACCAGCTTTTCTAGTTTGTGGCTTTTTTCCAGTTATTGAAGCGCATGCTTTAGACACGATGAGTATTATGCCCAACAGTAAGGAGATCAAAGATGTAGTCTTCTCTTTTGGTCCATACAAGTCGCCTGGGAAGGATGGGCTTAATGCTCTTTTCTTTCAATCTCAGTGGGATAAGGTGGGTGAGTCAGTTATCTCTTTTGTGAAAGGTGTGTTCCTTCATCCGGATAATATCAAAGAGGTTAACCAAACTTTAATTTGTCTGATTCCTAAGATTGATGTGCCTGAATTACTTAAAGATTTCAGACCTATTAGCCTTTGTAATGTTATTTACAAGACTGTAACTAAGATTGTGGCTAATAGGCTGAAATCTCATATGGCTCACTTGGTTATGCCTAATTAATGTGGTTTTATTAAGGGTAGACAAGGAGCGGATAATATCATTGTGGCTCAAGAAATCATCCATTCCATGAATAAAAAAGAGAGGAGGTAAGGGTTGGATGACTGTCAAAGTTGATTTAGAAAAGGCTTACGACAAGATTTCTTGGGAGTTTCTGAAAGACACGCTTGTGGATGTTGGTTTGCCTGAGAATATTATTTCTCTGATCATGTGTTGTGTCTCGTCATGTACAATGAATTTGTTATGGAATGGATCAACTACGACAGAATTTTCTCCTAATCAAGGTCTTCGTTAGGGAGATCCTTTGTCTCCTTATCTTTTCATCCTTTGCATGGAAAGACTTGCTCATTTGATTGATGTAGCAGTTCAGGAGGACGTTTGGAAGCCTATCAGATTGAATAGAAGGGGACCACTGCTTTCCCATCTATTTTTTGCAGATGATCTTCTGCTCTTTACAGAAGCCACAGAAGGGCAAGCTGTTATTATTAATAAGATTCTTGATTGTTTTTGCAGGTGCTCTGGTGAGAAGGTTAGCAAGGAAAAAACAAAAGTCTTCTTCTCCAGAAACGTTAATCATACCCGAGTGCAGAATCTAAGCCAGTTGATGGGCTACTCTCTTACAAATGACTTGGGTAAATACTTGGGTATTCCTCTTCGTCATAGCCGTGTTACAAAGAGTACGTTTGGCTATATCTTAAATTGGATGCAAGCTCGTTTAAATGCCTGGAATCAACGTACTCTTTCATTGGCAAGAAGATCAACTTTAGCTAGGTCAGTTCTTACTGCAATTCCTCAATATCCTATGCAAACTTGTATTATTCCTAGTGGTACGTGTGATCGTATTGAGAGTGTAACTAGGAATTTCATTTGAGGATCAACTTCTGAACGAAGGAAAGCTCACCTGGTTTCTTGGGAGACGGTCTGTTTGCAGAAGAATGTAGGGGGGCTTGGTTTTCGTAAAATTAAAGAGAATAATATGGCTTTTATCATGAAGCTAGGTCACCGTATCATGACTGATCGTAATTCATTATGGGGTCGGGTCCTTCGTAGCAAGTATAAGGTGGAGGAGAGGCTCATTCCAAGTATCTCGGCTTCAGCAAATGATTCTGGTTTATGGAAGGCTATTGTTAAGTATTGGCCTCAAACTCTAGATAATTCTCGTATCATTTTAGGGGATGGGGTTCATACGTCTTTTTGGATGGATTCGTGGGTGCCAGGATGTCCTCAACTTGTTTCTCTGGCCGTTCAACCTATTGCTCCTATTCTGACTCATTGGTCTACGTCTCAATTTGTAACTTGTTATGGTAATTGGGACTGGCCTTTATTCCAGCACCTTCTTCTACTTCAGTATTAGACAAGATTCGTAGTGTGCTCCCTCCTACAGTGGATCCTTCTCCGGACCGTGTTATTTGGGCAGGTAGCCAAGATGGGGTTTTTTCAGTGAAATCAGCTTATAACTATCTCATGGGTGCCTTGCATTATCATCAGGATAGGATTTGGAAGGTAATTTGGGCTTGGCCTGGTCCTGAACGTATTAGACAATTCTTATGGCTTCTCTACAGAGGTTTTCTTTTAACTAATGTTCGTAGAGTGCATCGTCATATGACTACAGATGCAGTGTGTCTGAGATGTCATTATAATCTTGAGGATAGTTTACATGCTATTAGAGATTGTCCTGGTGCCAGGGAATTATGGGAGCATTGGGTTCCTTCTGATAATCGTAGTGACTTTTTCTCCATGGATCTTCACCTATGGATTCAGACAAATCTAGGATTAAAAGGTCCGTTTCAAACTGATCGAACTTGGCCTTTGTATTTTAGGGTGATAGCTTGGTGTTTGTGGGGGAAAGAAATAAGGCGATCTTTGATCAAACTAGCACCTCAAAGTATGGTCTCATTAGGCGCATTACCTACACTTGTGGTAATATTCAATTGGCTAATGAAACCCTTATTAAGATTGGTCATCAGGAGCTTAGAAGAGAGGAACGTCTTATTCACTGGAATTTTCCCTCTGAGGGTTATGTTAAACTTAATGTGGATGGTTCCAACATAGACAGTGGGCAAAGGACTGCATGTGGTGGAGTCATAAGGGATGCTGCTGGGAACTGGTTAACTGGTTTTACAAAATTCTTTGGGAGTGGTACTTCTACTTCAGCGGAAATTTGGGGGTTCTTGACAGGTATGAATCTGGCTTGGCATAAGGGATTTAGGAGAGTCTTTGTGGAGGGTGACTCCAAGGTGGCTTTGGAATTTATAAGAAAAAGGTGTGACGTAAGTCATCCTCTTTCTGCTTTAATCATCCGAGCTCGTAGCATGCTTCAAAGAGACTGGATTATTCAGCTTAGTCATACTTATAGAGAAGACAATTTTGTTGCTGATTGGCTTGCTACTCATGCACCTCATCAGGATGGACAGCTGATTGTGCTGGATGTTCCTCCAATGGCTTGTTTGGAATTGCTTCATAATGACTTGAGGGGAGTTA